TTGGGTTGGAGTGCCAAGTCATCAGAGTAATCTTCCTTCAGAGGTCGTTGGGTTCGATCAAGAAAGAAAGCGACGGGGACCACTTAGATCAAGTGAAAGTACGTGGCTATGTCTCTAAGTCTGGGGGACAAGACCACATAGAGTTGCCCAGTCTCGGAGCAGAGTCAGATGATGCTTGGGTAGGGTCAAGCAGTATTGATCAATTCATTGATAGAGGAGTCAGAACTGTGCCTTGACAAAGGGTGTCAAGAAGTTGATGGGACACTATTGATGCAGTGGGAGGTAGAAGATTGTCGCTTTGTCTCCAAGTGGGAGATTGTTGGGATTGGTGGAGTCAAAACGACGTTGGATCGAGCTAGGGAAGAGTCAGGATCGAGCCAGAATGCGTCGGGGTTGAAGCAGGATGAAAACAGAGGAGAAGCGGACGCTGCAGGCCACTTGGGCCGAGGAGGCAACGCCGCGGTGCTGTCCAGATGGGGGAATTTGCGTTCATAGTGCCATGGCGCCGGGGACAGCGCCATGGCGCTGTTTCAATGTCTGTATAAGTGCAGTTTCGGGTTTAAGGTTTTCCAGCCGAAAAAAGGTTATTGTCCAGTCGATTTTGAGCCGTTTTCAGAGGGTTTCGTGGCAGTTTAAAGGGAGAGGCTCGAGCATTGGCAGAGGCATTGAGGCTCATCAAGATCAACACATTCGGGGTAATTAGATCTTGATTATTATGAGTTTTTCATTCCTGTTCCTAAGTATTAATTGTGTAAAATACTTAGAAATTAGAGGACTTTTGTTGAGACCTCTAGGGGATATTTTGGGGAGAGTTATTGTATCAAATCCTAAACAATATTAATGAATTACCTACATCTGAGTGCAAGACTAGACGTAGCCCTTAGTGGTGAACCAGTATTTTGCTGCGTCGTTGACTTGTGTTTACTGCTTTTCTTCCTGTTTGTATATTTGTGGTTGTGTTGGATATTTTCTGTGGAAGGGGAAATTATTTAGGTTAATCAATTTCCCAACAAACTTTCGTCAAACTAATATACAACTAACATAAGTCTAATACTCCCCCTCAAAATGGAGAGTGAATATTGAGAACACCCATCTTAGATAACATGGAAAGAGCAGAATAGGGAAGAGACTTAGTAAAAATATCAGCCAATTGACCATCCAACCGAATAGGCAGAAGCTTGAGAAAACCAGCAACAACTTTATCACGAACGAAATGACAACCCAACTTGATATGCTTGGCTCATTCATGAAAAACAGGATTAGTGGTAATGTGAATGGTAGCCTCGTTGTCACAAAACATTAAGGCTGGAGACAGCGAAGGAACACGAAGATCTTTCAACAACTGGGAGAGCCAAACAAGCTAACTTGTAGTAACAGCAAGAGCTCTATATTCCGCCTCACCTGAAGAACGAGAGACAACACTCTGCTTTTTAGCTTTCCAGGATACTAACGAATCGCCCAAAGAGATGCAGAAACCAGTAGTAGACCGCCGAGAATTAGGGCAAGAAGCCTAATAAGCATCAGAAAACGCCCGAAGCTGAAAAAAAGTACAACGACGCAAAAACACCCCTTGGCCAGGCGAACGCTTCAAATATCATAATAAGGCATAAGCAGCCACGAGATGTGTATGGCGAGGTTGAAAGACAAATTGACTCAACCGATGAACAGCAAAAACTATATCAGGCCGAGAGACGGTTAGATAAAGTAGCTTACTAATGAGATGCCGATAAACAGTAGGATCTTGAAGCAAGGTGCCATCAAGGGCAGTAAGCTTGACATGAGGATCCATAGGCAAGATAGAAGGCTTACAAGCAAGAAAACTCGTCTCCTCCAATAAATGTAATGTGTAATTACGTTGGGAAAGAAAAATCCCATGTTTTGAACGCGCAAGTTCCAAGCCCAGAAAATAGCGAAGATCACCCAAATCTTTGAGTTTAAAAACTTGGTGTAAATGTGCCTTTAAATTATCAATAGCAAGAGCATAAGCCCCAGTAATGATGATGTCGTCGACGTAAACAAGCAAGGCAATAAAAGAAGAACCAGAGCCTTTGACAAACAAAGAATAGTCAGACTTGGTCCGTTGAAAACCCAGAAGGATCAACGTGTGCGAAAATTTGTCGAACCACTGACGAGAGCCTGTTTGAGCCCATATATAGACTTGTGTAAACGACACATCAAACGCTCCCCCTGAGGGATAGCAACGCCATGCTGATAACCAAGAGGCAAATCCATGTATACTTCCTAAAAAATATTCCCATTCAGAAATGCATTATTGACGTCAAGTTGGACTAAAGGCCAATCCAACGAGACGGCAATAGTAAGTAGAACTTTGACACTTACTAGTTTTGCCACTGCAGAAAAAGTCTCAAAATAGTCAAGTCCCTCTTGCTGAGTAAACTCTTTCGCAACCAAGCGAGTCTTATATCGTTCAATGGTGCCATCAGAACGATGCTTGATTTTGTAAACCCATTTACACCCAATGGAATGATGACCAGGAGGCAATGGAGCAACAGACCAAGTTCGATTGGCCTCCATGGCATTAAGTTCATCTGACATCGCTGCCCTCCAATGGGAAGAAGAAACAACTTGATGATAAAAGAGGGGCTCTGTATTAACTGAGACATTCAAGACAAAGTTTTTGTAGGCAGGAGATAACTTGTCATAGGACAAAAAATTCTGAATGGGATACTTAGAAGAAACAGGAGACAGTATATTCACGCCCAACAGACCATAATGATAATCACAAAGATATTTAGGAGGTTGGGAAACCCGAAAGGACTTGCATGTAAGGGCTATGTGGTTGGTATTCACAATATCAGCAATAGGCATAACAATAGGCTTATTACGAACAGTAGTAGACTCATTGCAAAAATCAGGAATCATAACAGTAATGCATGGAAAAGGCACCACATCAGATATACATCAGGCACATGAAAAGATGTAGCATGTGAAACAGAAGACCCATGATGATCAAAAGATTTTGGCAGTACAACATCATGAAAAGGATCAACAAAACTTGCTTAATTTGGAATAGCATGAAAAAGGGAATACCTGTTCTTGAAACACCACATCTCTCGAGAAGAAAACTCTATTGTGCTCTATGTCATAAAGCTGATACCCTTAATACCTGGTGGATAACCAAGAAACACTGAAGGTATAACCCTGGGATGAAACTTTAAACTGTTAGCAGATCATGTAGAGGCAAAACAAAGACATCCAAAGATTCGCAAATAATCATAGGTAGCCTCTTTATCATACAACCAAGCATAAGCGTTTGCCAACCCAAAACATGTGAAGGAGTCCTATTAATAAGATTAGTAGCTGTAAGAACACATTCTCCCAAAAATTTCAAAGGCACCCGAGACTGAAAGAATAAGGAACGAGCAACATTGAGAAGATGTTGATGTTTTCTCTCAACAACGGAGTTCTGTTCAGGCCGTTCTACACAAGAAAATTGGTGAAGAACACCTTTGGAACGAAAAAATTCAACAAAAGACAACTCAGGAGCATTATCAGAACGGAATTGCTTAATAGTCTTGCCAAACTGAGTTTCAATAAACGTGAAACCTGAGGAACAATAACCAAAGCCTCTGATTACGTATCACAATGTATGAGATCAAACAACATGCTGCTATATTATTGTGAGATGTAAAGGACAAGCGTTTTTGTTTTTCCAATGGGCAAACTAAACAAGAATCAGCAGTAAATAACTTAACATCAATATGTAAAACATCCCTGAGAGCGCCTAGATGCTTAACAGAGGAATGGCCAAGTCTATCATGCCAAAGCTGAAAATCAGAAACACAACTAGCATTGCTCACAGCATTGTTAGAAGTGTGCACAGCAGAGGTTGACTGAAGTAAGTAAAGACCATGCGAAGAGCTAGCTTTTCCAATCATCCTCGAAGATAACTTGTCCTGAATCATACAATAATCATGAAGAAAATTAACCATAATAGAAGCATGTGAGTGAGGGCACTGACAGAAATCAAATGGAACCGAAATTCGGGGACAAAAAGAACATTTCGGAGGTAAATATCATTATTAATCTGTATATCACCAGCCAAAGTAACAGGGATTCGAGTATTATTAGGAAGAGTCACTATAATGCCGAAAACCGCTCTTGGTTGAAGAAACAAATCCCAAGAATAACAAAAATGAGTAGAGGCCCCCAAAACTATCACCTACTAATCGGCAGAAATTTGAAAAAATGAGGGAGGGAAACAAGTACCTGCAACATGTGAAATCCCTGAATCAGTAGTTGAACTGTTCTTGGCCTTGGATAAATGTGATTGCAGAAAAGCCATCAATCCTTGGCATTGATCAACATTAAAAGTGGCGAGTGAATCAACAATAGAAGATGTAGTGGCAGATTTAGTATCATTGGACTTAGCATAGTAACATAAGGCGAACAGCCACCAGATGAAGAGCCTGAAAAACCAGAGGAACGGTATCCCGGCAGGTAACCATGAAGTTTGTAACACCGGTCTACTGTGTTTCCAACGAGGCCACAATGAGTAGAAAAAGGTTTGTCCTTCCGTTTGGCAGAATAAGAGGACGAACCAGAATTCTGTGATGTGTAGCAGGAGAAGTTGAGGACAGGTTCGAAGAATTTCGAACCATTAAAGCCGCAGACGAAGGTAACACAGAATTAGGCGAGCAGATATGGCTCGTTGTTGTACCTCTTGAGCAACTAATGCAAAGGCACGATTTATAGCAATTGAGCCCTAATCTGACTAAAAGAGTCATTTAATCCCATCAAAAAATGCATCACATACTCATTCTGAAGAAAAGCAACAGCATCCTTAACTTCACCACAAGTGCACTTTCCGCAAGAACAGATTGGCCGGTACGATGAAAGTTATGTCCATAAAGTTTTGAGACGCGTAAAATACGTGCTTACCGAGGAATGATCTTGAGACAAATTGGATAAATCACGCCGAAGTTGATAAATCTCATCTGATACCATATTTAAATCTAAGACTAAATAGAAGTCCTGCTTACTTTACTTTATTATAAGTAGACCATATATAGGCCATTGACAAATTACAATAAAAAATATAACAAACTTCCTACCTGTCAAACTAACATAAGTCCAATAGAAATACACTGAAGAATGGCAACCATTCTGCCATTTGTCGACTTTACAGAGGCGAAGATCGAGGGGAAATACTCTTTGAACATTCTCTCAATATCTTTTGCACTTGTCACCCAGTTTCCATCTTTATCAATTATGCCCATGATCTCATTTTTTTTCTTCCTCGCATAAGCCTTCCTATGAAACCAACTTGTGTGTCTGTCTCTCCACTGAAACCAATTTTCTCGTGAGTCCTGTCGCCAATAAACCTCGTCCTCCTCATAAATCTTGTCAAGAGATTCCTCTCAATGATGAAATAAAAGTGAAATCTAGATGAGATTGTTGATTGTAAGCCTCTGCTAAGGCACTTTTCTAGCTCCTTATTTGGTTGCTCAACTCTCTATTAACAAACTTCCCCCATCTTCCAAGCTGCATGTAGCAATCAGCCAAACTGAGATCAAGAGGAAATTGAAAAATGTCCTATCATCTGACCTTGACCAATTTAAATGAGTCAATGTCAAAACTTTGAACAGATCAAAGAAGGCCTTATTACCTAAGAAACGATCAATTGTTTGTGAATCGGAGCCTCTGAACTCCAATTTCTACACCAAGTGAAATGACTTCCTTGATAACCCAAATCAATAAGATTACGGTCTTCCAAGGTATTTTTTTTAAGTTCTATGTTGATGCAAAATTCTACCGAGGTACGGAAGACGAGCTCTGAGGTAGGCCGGCAACACTTAGAACGATTCTCGAATACCTGCAAGGAGGTAAGCCACTCCGACGTCCAAGTCAGTATTCAATCCGAGCTCAACAGGTTAGCATCAGACAGATTTCTTACCTGAGTCCATGGGTGAATGACGTATTTATAGCGGTATATGGGGTAGATACGAGTCTCATCAGTGTATTCCACTGCTCGGACAGGATTCTCCCAAACGACCTTTGGTCCGTACCGTTTACCGGTCCATTCCTTGTTGCGGTGTTTGAGGCTTGGCTGTTCACTTGCTCGCTTAAGTTGTCGTGGCTGACCTACACTACTTTGAACCTGGTCGGCCGTGCGTAGATTTACCCCAACGTTCTCCATCAATTTTCTGTCTCGCGCAGCACCTCCTAATTTCTCATGTCTTAGATAATTTCAAGCTTCTTTAAAGTTCAAGCCTTTTTTTCTTATTTCTTTCTCTGAGAGAAATTTCTTCTTTGAGAAAATGGGTCCGAAGGGATTTGTTAAGTGCATGCCCACGGATGTTCCCAAGACTAACCTAAATTTGAATGCGTTAATTGTCCGGTTTCTAAAAAGTTTGTTATTCTAACATTTTCTAACGCGTCATCCTATCGTGCAAATTACGAGCTGTGCTCTTCGTTCATTTCTTTTAATTGTAGCGATAGTAATAGCTATAATTCAGGTTGGCAACATACTTTTCAATTTGGTCTCAAATAGTGCTTGCAATAGTAATAGCAGCAATATAGATAGATTTATTTTCATAATTAAACTAAAGATTTTGATTTTGAGAGTAGAGGAAAAAAAAAGGAACAAACAGTCAACACAAAGAAATAAGATAAAGATTTTGAGAGCAGAGAAAAAACGAAAAATAATAAACAGAAGATTTTAATTTCGAGATTAGAGAAAAAGGAAAATAAAATAAGAGTCAACAAAGAGAAAAATAAACTGAAATTTTGATTTTGAGAGCAGAAAAGAAGAAACAAATCATGAACGAGAAAAATAAACTATAGATTTTTAGTTTTGGAGGAGTGAAAAACAAAACAAACAATGAACAAAAAAAATATAGAGCGAATATTTTAATTTTGACAGGAGAGAAAAAAAAAACTAAAATTGAAGATTTTGATTTTGAGAAAAAAGAATCAGCGAATAAAAAAGGCGATTTCGAGTTGGGAAAAAACTAAACTCGATATTTTTATTTAGAGAGCAGATAAAAAAAGGAAAATAAAAAGATGTGAGAGAGGAAAATTATTAAGAACAAGAATGGGATTGAGGGGAGGGGTGGAATGTAATTTCACGGGATAAATGACGTCAACGATCGTTAGAATAAGAAGTTAAAAAAGAACAGACAAATCATTTGTGCAGAGCATTATTGAAGCGTGTCTCGACTAATTTAATCAAGTTTGTGGTGTTCATCAAGTCGTTCGAATTTGTATCGTTTGTAGCCAATTACGTTATAAATTGTTGCTAGTATTATTTAGTTTACATATACACAGCGTATAGCTGTATATTAACCCAACATTGAGTTTGTCTCTTAGTTGATTGGGAAATTGGTTTGAAGTGGGAAGATAGAGAAATATTTTGGCTCCATTCAGTGGGATAAATGGATAGGATAAGCTGTTTTCTTATTGGCTGATTCAACCTAATGTAACTGTCTCCATCATCCTATGTGGAATTTCTTAATTATACACAGTATATTTACTCGGATTATTTTCTTTATTGTGTGCCACGTCAATATCGTTTGAAATTAATGTAGGGTCTATCAATATCAAATAATTATTTATAAATTATATGTTATGATGTAAACAAAAGAGTATCAAAGGGTAGGTACTCCCGTGCTACCAGGAATTTTTTCAAAAGTAAAATAGTTAGATGGTGAAATATTGAGATGTCATAATAACCACTTGAATCGAATTTTTACGACTTTGACATGGTCGGGTTAGACTATGAGTTTAATGAACGAGGTCGAAAAATTTACTGAACATAACTTAATTAGTCGAATGGTAAATTAGTAAGCTTAAATGAAATGCGAAATTTTGAAAGTAAAAACTATAAAATTAGGTTGGTTTTCTTTTCTTCCTTCTATTTAATATAAAATGTAAAATTAGTTTGATAGACTTTACACGTGTACTACTCTTATGTCTTCTAACAGAATTCAGCACTGCACCATTTTGCTGAGAATTACGGGGCATAATACATAATGTTCAATTATTACATTTAGACTTTAATTAAGGGATTAATAAAAGCTTATCAAGAACTTGTGTTCATAAAGATTTAATTGAATGAGAAATGGATGAACTATTGCGGCATAATTTAGACATAATTTAAGAAGGGAGTTATTAAATTAATATTAATTGTAAATTTGTGACCCCTAAATAGAGAGGAGACATACATTGGATGAATCAGTATCACATCGAGAGAGATCTTGAAATCATAGAAGTATGGTTTGGAAAGACTTTCGGTGGTTCAATTATAAGAACACCAAAGTTAAAACATATTTTGGCTTGGAGTAATATTGGGTTGGTTGATGGAAATGACTCGTATTAGGTCTCTAGGGATAGTCTTCGCTATTCTAAGTAGTTCATATAAAGACACTGGCGCAACCATGATGTCGTAGGGGAATGTCGGGATAATTAAGTGTCGAATCCAGATTGATCCAAATGCTAGTCTGAATCCTAGACCTAGGCATGACAAAATTATACTAACATTAATTTGATTGTTGATCTTATTAATTCTTTAGGCATAGTCTCGTAAACTAGGTTGTACTTGTGTGGTACCTTTTAGATGGTGAAATGTTGAGATGTCATAAGTCATAATAATCACCTGAATCGAATTTCATGACTTTGATATATTCGGGTTAGACAATGAGTTTAGTGAATGAGGTCGAAAAAATCACTGAATATAATTTAATTAGTCGGGTGGTAAATTAGTAAGTTGAAATGGCTCATGCGAAATACGAAATTTTGAAAGTAGAACTATGAAATTTGGTTGGTTTTTTTTTTCTTCCTTCTATTTAATATGAAATAAATGAGTTTTGTAGACTTTACACGTTTACTACTCCTAGGTTTTCCAACAAAATTCAAAAGTACACCAGTTTGCTGAGAATTATAAGGCATAACACATAATGTTCAATTATTACATTTAGACTAATTAAGGGATGAATAAAAGCTCATCAAGAACTTGTGTTTATAAAGATTTAATTGGATGAGAAATCGATGAACTATTACGACACAATTTAAGAAGGGAGTTCTTCTATGCATAAATCAATATTAATTGTAAATTTATGACCCCGAGTAGAGAGGAGGTGTACATTGGATGAATCGGTATCACATCGAGAGAGATCTTGAGATCATAGAATCATGGTTTAGAAAGACTTAAAAGAATTGATAGACACTACCTATACCAACAAGGTGCACCTTCCTTTTCGGTGGCTTAATCATAAGAACTACAAAGTTAAGCATGTTTGGCTTGGAGCAATTTCGGGTGGTTAACTGAATGGACTCGTGTTAGGTCTGTAGAGATAGTCTTCGCTTTTCTAAGTAGCTCAGATAAAGACAGTGGTACAGCCAGGACGTCGTAGGAGAATGCTGGGGCAATTAGGTGTCAAATCTGGATTTCAAATCCTGATTTGAATCTAGAACCTAAGGTATTACAAAATTGTACTAACGTTTGATTCTTAATCTTATTAATTCTTTGGGCATGGTCTCGGGTTGGAAAATCCAACCACCTTAAAAAGGTTTTTGTATGTCTCTTTACTATAGATCTTCAATGCCAAAATATTTTTTTGTTACAATCCTAAGTATTTTGTGAAATATAAGAAGAAAAGCCTTTTGCATAGATCATGAACACGTGAAGATGGAGGATTCGTATTAAACTTCGTATTTAGATTACTCTACGATGAGAATAGAACCTACTAATTATGATATATTCAACCATTATCAAATCATGTTTTACAAAAGACCACTACCAGCCTTAATCACAAACATATTGCTCGTATCAAGCTTTCAAGACGTCGCAGATACATTCATGTTCATGTTAAAGTGTTGATAAATGATAAAATGCTACATTACTTTCTATCAACTTAAAATGATGAGTTTAATGGTCATTTAACAAAACATCGAAGCAGGAATTTTTTCATCCAAGGATCGTAAGATATCAAAATAATCTCCATTTTAAAAACTTGTACAAGCTCATCATAATCTAAATCAGAAATTAAACTACCCTCTAATCTTTCCACTCCAAATATACACATTTCTTTTGCAGATCAACATGTACACATTGACCAAACTTCTACACCTTCCCATTATTCAAATAAAAAGATTGGGATGCGATGGCATCCAGCTCTTACAGACTCTTCATTATTTATTTATATGACAACAATAATTCATGTGAAAAGTTGACTCAAAATAAGAAATGAGATGCGATGGCATCCCTTCACAGACACTTTAATTTGTAGTTTTATTTTGTGCACAAATCATTACCAATGAGTGATAACTCCAACATTATTGCTACTCCACAGCTACCTAAGCTTCTTTGACAATCGCCTTGCCTGCACAAACCAAATTTAAACTATTAATTCCGTTAAAATCCGGGTTAAATTATAAGTTTCATCTCTAAATTTTTCGAGTAATTTTGTGTTTAATAAGTTTCTGGAATGTAAAAAAGCATCTAAATGGTCTAAACAATATGTTTTTAAATGTATGATATGTTGAAATTTTTAATAATATGGTGTGTCAACACATGTAATCATTTAATGTGATTTTTTTGCTATTTAAATTAAATCGTGATCCAATTATGTGTATGTTTTGATACAAAAGAGTAATTATAAATTGTCCATGGGTAAAATATATAGATATCACAAAATAGTTTCCAAATTTATGAGGGGTCAAATTGGAAATATTCAAACCCCGTAACCAATCAGTAATTATTTAGTCAAGGGTTATGGTCTCTAAGACAGAAAGATTAATGAATTCTAAAAGAGCCTCATCTTCTTGAGGGGCATATTAAGAAAATTTTAGGAGGGTGATTGATCAAATTGAAAGTTTAAGTGTGTTTATAACAAACATCTATACTTCAAGGGTAGTTTTCGCAATTTTTTGAAAAAAAAAATTATAGAAATATGTAACTTAAACAATCTCGGTTCATCATAAAAAACTTTCGAACCTAACTACCATTATATTTTTTTGCAAGTAAAAGAGAGCAACATAGAAATGAAAAAAGAGTAGAATGTTTCATATTTTCAAAAAAAAATAAGTAGCGGTCAAATTTTTAGTCTAGCGACCGTAAGAGGTAAGCCATCTAAAAATAGTTATCGACATGGACATATATTACCTGTAGGGATGGAGCGAGTCGAGTTCGTTGGCGGGACGGGCTTCACGGCGGCGATCTCCTCCGGTGGCACGACGACACCAGGCCACGGTCGGCAGGCGCAGTGCTTTCCCTTCTCCACACGCTTGTAGAGGTCAGGCAGGTGAAGGCCACACCCCTTCCATGAGTACTTCTCGCAGTGGTCGCAGATCACAAGATTACACATTTCTCTTTGATCTTTCAGCTGCACAGAAAAGTGATTCTGAAGGAATTATATGTGGGGTGTGGTGGCTTAAAAGTTTCACTTTGTGCAACTCCCAATAACCAATTTAACAAAACAAAAAGGTTTTGGGATTATCGCCAGGCTTCTCTTGTGTGTTAATGGGCCAATTTTTTCTTGTTCTAAAATTGTCAAACACTAGGTGGAGCTGGAGGGAGAAAGTTTTGGATTAATTAATGGCACAACCAATAATAGTTGCTTTATTTCTAATAAACGGCCTACTATGGTTGGTGATGTCCCTGACAGGTGTGAGTGTTGGATATAATTAGGGATGGCAATAGGGCGGGGTTGGGTCGGGGGCCATCTTCATCCCCGCCCTATTGGGGAATCTTTACCCCATCCCCATCCCGCCCTCGAAATTTTGGGGGTGGAGACGGGGCGGGATACTCCAATCAGGGGTGGATTTCCCGCGGGGAACCGTCTCCGATAAATTTTTTTATTTTTTATTTTTTTCTTTTTTTTTATCTTTCGGATGTTAAAAGTAAAAGAAAAAATTGGCATTGGGCTTGGGCTTTTCTCTTTAGAAAAAAAAATTAAAAAATATTTATTATAATTAATATATATTAGGGACAATTGTAAATATGGCAAAAAGATTTAGTAAAATAAACAAAATAGCAACCACATTTAGTTTTTTCAAATATAACATTTTTTTCAACACTCCAATTTTAAAATTACAACTTTACCCTGCAATATATCTGATATACATTTGTAATATATCTACAATATATCTGACTACTGATATATACCTATGATATACCACTGATATAATAATGATATACAATTAATTTACTTCTGATATAATTATGATATCTACTGAACTTCTAATATGACTTATCACTAATATACGTATGATAACTATTGATTTATCATACTGATACAACATTTATATATATGTGATATATACTTGATAGGTCTCCAATTTATCATTGATATACAAATGATATACCACTGATATAATTTCTTATATATGATTATATGATTTACCACTAATATAACATTGATATATACTTAATATGCTTCTAATTTACCACTGATATACTTCTAATATAACCCCGATATCTACTAATATAATTATGATACTTGTGTGTTGATATAATACTATTATATCTTTTTTTTTTCATATGAAAACAATGGTGCAAAAAAAATTTAAATATAAAGTTATTGTATAAAAGATTTAGGTAGATCATGCATGTCAAAAAAAAGTTTAAAATCTAACATACTTTATAAATTTAAATAATTGATATCCATTATATTTAGTATCTAATTAATATTAATATAGAATAAATACTAGTGATATAGTAATCAAACATTATTGATAATATTAGTATATCAATCAATAAATTGCAATGATAAACTAGAATTTAAACAGTTGATATACCATTAAAAATTAAACATTTGATATACCTTATATTTAGTATATTAGTCGCAAATATATTTAGTATATCATAAATTAGAGGTACATTAGATATATATATTAGAGGTATAATACATACATCTGATAATGTATATTATGGGTACATCTGATAATGTATATCAGGAGTACATTGGAGGTATATCAGAAGTATATCAAAGGTACATCGGATGTATATCAAATATAGACATACATTTGGATTTATATCAGATACAGATTTACATTGAATTAATATCAGATATCACAAGATTAAAATCGGAATAATAAAAATTCCGAAAATAAAAATTCAAATACAGCATTGGTGACATTTTTTGAAATATATGAATTATTTTTGCTACCCACCACAATTACCTTATATAATATATAAAAATATAAAAATTAATAAAATATTAAACGGGGCGGGGAGACCTTCCCCCGTCTGTGTCGGGGACCCAGATTGGGATCCCCGGTTTGACCCCGTCCCCGGTCAAATCGAGGATTCCCTGACCTTATCGAGTCGGGTAATGCAGGGATCAAGTCTCGCGGATTTTCTTGGATTTAAGCAATTTTAGGTTTAGTGACCTCCAAAGAGTGAGAAAGTACGTGAGTATAGACAAAACATGCAAGTCAATAAGAACAACTACATTTGCAGGTGAATATCTGGACCATTAGGTGTTAAAGATGAATAAATCACCACTCAATCCAAAAACTTGAGCAATATAAATGGGAAGGAAACAACAATGCAAGAGTTCGAACACAGAACATTCAACTCTTATACCATATTAATATTCATGGGATTCCATCTTAAAATCAATTGACAATAAGAGGACAGTCTATGTCTATTATAAACCATTATAAAGCCTATTTTCTTTTCAATGTGAGATCTTTGATATTAGGTACCAAATATATTCTATAGATATAGATTCCATAAAGTCACACCTACTTCTAAAAACCAAGTTTATAAAGTTTATAATGAAGAAGAAAGATGAGTTTGAGTGATTAGGCTGTTGATTAGGGACAAAATTTCTAGCTAGCTCTAGTGCAAATCTAGTGGTATGGGAAGGGATAAATTATCAAAGAGATTGATGGTTTATCTTATCTTTTGACAACAACGTTAAGTAAATTAAGCTCTCACTATATTCAAAAAATAATTGTAATCATTTATTTTCTAATTGAAAAAAAAGATGACTATTTTCCTCAATTGGGTAAGGTTAGTTTCAATTTCATTGGATTAAACTCTAAAATTTTTTTATTTCTTAAAGAAATATATAAAATTTGGTTAGAAAAACACTTCCGATTCTTGGAAGCAAGGATTTAACCTATATATTTTCAAATTTGTAACAATTTAGTTCCTATCATAAAATTTAGTTCCGAACTTACTACTTTTTTATCAAAGATATGTCTTTACCAATTGCATATGCTCATGTTAGCTTCCTTTTTACCATTCTTCAAGTCAGAAGATAAAAATCACAACAGCTAATTAAATTTAAGGTATAATCTAAGGTTTAATTTAATAAAATTGAAAAATCAAACATAGAGATTCTAATGGTAAAAGTTGAATTTTTCCCAAATAAATTTCTACAGCTGGAAAGTATCTTGTTTATACTAAACGTGGGGCTTATGGCAATAACCAAAGTGAAAGTGTAAAACCCAGATGTATTACTGTAAAACTGCTGTTGGTTACTACACTAAATCTAAGATTTAAGAAGTCTGTAAAAACATCATATAGGGTAAATATTGGTCAAACATAGTACAAACATACATGAAAAGGATAACAGCCACAGCCAGGAAGATTCTTTTTTGTTATTTTTTTTTTCACCTTCTAAACTAGATTTACTGATATGCAGTTTGGGATATCTAATTTCAGAGTAAGTGAATTCAAGAACTTCAGGCAGAACTGCCATCACCTTTATCTTGTGATGATGAATCTATTGCCGGTTTCTTCATTGGGTTTGATTCAGCAGATTCTGAGTTTGTAGATACTCGTTTGACTCCCCTTCCGACGACACCAAGGTGTGTCACTCCGGGTGCACCGTTTGTGTGGGCAGTTGAGACAGTCGGAGAGTCAAATCCTCCATTGCTGTTAGCTGAAGCCAACTGGGAAGAGTTCAACGCTGCTGGAGGTGCGCTCTTTTCATTGACTTTCGACCTAGCTGATCCTATCCCAAGGATTTCTGAGAGAATTGACTTCGGGTTTGAGGCTAGCTGTTGCAGATCTTCAAGCTGCAAGCACAGAACATTGATCAGATTTTCCCATTTCTGTGTGTCTCAAATACTTGCGGACGTTCTAATCTAAACTCACCTTCTTTTCTAGCTCAACCAAAAGCCCAGATAGAGTTTCAATCTCAGATTGTTTCTCTGATGCAGCGTTGTCAGTGTCAATCTGGGAGACATTGGAGGACAGCTGGGCAGCTGGTTCCGACCCCGATGTAGAAGAAGCTGTCGTTGGTACCAGGATACTCTTTACTTCGTCGGTGAGCCGCAGCACACGTGACTTGCAGATTGATATTGCCTTCTGGCAAAATGGAATGGCTTCCTGCGGCTTGGAACCGAACTCCAGACACAAGCATAAACGGAAGTTTCTGAAATTTTCAGTTAAGGTTGCAAAACACACTTTTTCCTCACGTGTTAGGAAATTACATGATCCACATATCAAAACCAACTCATAAGCTATAATTATAGACAAAATTTGAGGTCAGCTACCTCAAAAAAAAAAGGTCGTTTTTCTTTATAAAATCTTGGCAGTAATATTTGCTGAGCTTCAAGTATATTCAATTCTATTGACAAACAAGAGGGATACAGTTCGGCAAGTTGTCGATTGTCGGGTTCAACAAGTCTTTCTAAAATTGATAACGCTTTCTGGTAGTCACTGAGGGAAGTTTCAATGTCCTCTACATGAAGCAAAAAACAAAAACGAAAAACGAAAAAAACAAAACAAAACAAATTTTAAAACTGAGGAATGAATCTCTTACTGGTAGGGGAGAGAGAGAGAGAGAGAGAAATGGAGTTCGAAGGAAAAAAAATTAGAAAAACACAAACCATTGAATTTATATCACACGAGAGCAAATAAAACGCAAATGTACCTCTTTCTAGAGCAACTTCTGCCAAGGCCGACAATATGTCCACTTTCTCCATTGTGTCACCCGAATCTTTTTCAACTATTGCTCTGGCAACGTCCAGCATTTTCCAAGCTAAATCCAGGTCAGATTCATCTTCATCTGCCTCTGCCAAGTCTTCGGCATCACTATTATCGGCATCTTCTTCATCCTGATCTTTCTTACTGGAAACTGTCTCAAATAAGAAACAAAGAAAATAGAAGGTCAAAAAACTCCTTAAAAAATCTTTAAATAAAAACCAGCATTAAAAATAACATGATCAAAACTCAAAAATGGAACAATGTTAGTATTCAACGGTATCATTTGGGTTCTTAACAAAAATGTCCAGGCATGATAATCCGTCATTCAAAAATCGAAGTGTATCTATCCATGCATCCTCTCCAGCATTTGAAATCCAACTCTACTGTTGCAGTTACCGTAGGTATTATCAAATGTAAATCATTGTACTTTGAAAGACAAGAAAGAAACAGTAAATTCATTCAAATTGTGTGTACGCAGCAATGCAGTGAACTACAAGTCTAAATCAGGAAAATTATAATACCCAAAGTGCTTGAATACATAGATAAGAAAATTATAAGATTGAGTACAATCAAACTCCTGTTGTAGCAAACATAGGATGATTCAATACCAAGACTTAATTTCTTAAAAAGTATTTGACTACACGAGTAAGTTAAGGTTAAATGGCAGATGGATATCAGTAAGTAGCAACATATACCACCAGGCCGTAACTAACGAGTAATCAAAAATAGATTCTAGTGATTTGTTAGGAGTTAGAGCTGCTCCCAGAGCTCGACAATACTGGATGGTAGCAGTATCACTGCTGCTCAGACTTTTCCTTTAAAGATGACATTCATTATATGGAATTATAACTCATCAAGATGACAAAAAAAGCTGACTAACTCTAGAATTTTAATAAAAACAAATAGATTAATAGACGTAAACACATAAATTAACATGTTTGGCACTAAGAATCCATCAAAAAATCTGGTTTTCTTTTTTTAATTTATTTAAGCTTCACATGAACTATAATTCTTTTGAATCTGAAAAAATGTATAAGAGTGGTATGTTTTCTAAAGCACATTGATAAAATGAACAAAAATACTTGGAGCCAAGACTCAAGATGCAAAGAAAGATGCATGCCTAAATGAGAAGAGGTGCATGATATCACACAGAAAAGTAATTCTTTTTAAGATTTAAATATTGCAGACCATAAAAATTTATATATAAAGTTGCTATGAACACAATCAATTGAGAAGGAAAAAGGGCAGAGATGCCATCATCTGACAACAGAGAAAAGGGAGGAAAAAAAAACTAAAGAGGAAGATAAATCTTCTAAAAGGGCACTCATATACAGGACAGAAAGAAAGGTATTATACTGTTTACTGTAGTAAGGCACCACAACAGGGTATGTCAGTCATTGAGATTCAAGTCAAATGCCCTCCACAGAAGGCAAGACACCCACCCACCCAATGTGTGCGGGAGCCTACCAAACACGAAGGCGTGCATATTAAACAGGAAGTGAGAGTGACAATAGTCATAACGATCAATGAGTAAAGTAGAAAAGTTCTGTTGTTCAAAATAAATATACAAAGCAAATCATGGCATCCCAATGTCAATAAAGAAAACTTCAGAGCTCGTAACATTTCAGAATGGAAATACAGCAACATATCAAAGGATGTGAAATAAACGATATAAAGAACCAATTGATCTCTTTACTTTCAATTAAAGTACTTTGATAAAACCTTGATGCAATAAAACCAGCAGTTTTTATTCGTACTCCATGCTGTAAATTCAAATGTAAGATTATGCAGCATTTAAATTCATTGATTAAATTACCATTGAAATACATCAAAGAAACCAAGATAAACTAAAACCAGGAGCATGTTATTGTTACTCAATGCTCAAGAATATAAGATTCTCTCTCTGGGGAGGTGAGGAGGGAGGGAGAGAGAATATCTGAGTGAGTTGGAATTCTCTTCAAGTAAGTCATAGATTGGAAGGGAATGCATTACATTGCAATATGCCATGTTTCAAATTTCGGTTTCAAATAATATAAATTAGCAAATGTCCAAGGGAAAAAGGGTAAACATTTGAACGTTTCAGATTTCAATTTTCTTTTTTTTTTTTTAATGGAAGAGCAACTTTCATTACGAAGACAAAAAAAAAAATTGAATTTCAAGTCATACAAGTGAGTCTTCTCTACCACATGAAAATGTCCGAGGCAAGAAATAAACAGGAAATGTAAGATAGAAATTAGATTGGCCAGACATCAGGAGGAAGATACCAACCATCATCCGTTACTCCATCCACCAGTTCAGCATTACTTGAAACAGAAGCTTTTGAAGATTCACCATTTACAGCACTCTTCACAGATCCATCTTTATCTGATTCTTGATGGGATTCACCCTCTTTCTTTGGAACAGCTCCCAGTGGATCTGCCTCCTCCTGGGCTTTATACAATAAAGCACATCCATATTTGTAGTACAATTTGACGCATTCTGGAGCCAGTTCACCATAATGTGCAGCTCTGAAGTGAAGTATTTTCAAGATTATTACTAGAAAAACAAAAAAAAAAATTCAAAGGATTGAAGATGCTTATTACACAACCCAAAATTAAAAGTATTCAATTGCTAGTGATTTAAGAATATGATTTTCACATTGCAAAAGAGACACGTTAGCGCCAGGTATCCTATATACACTCTAAATAAAACGGGCAACAAGGTCTTATTATATACAAAAACTAAATAAATAAACAAATAAACTAAAACATAACGAGTAAAACTCATTCATATATACCGACACTGTTCGGTGACCCTGACGAACGGTTGATCTTAAGTGAAAAAATGAAACACATCTGGAGCAACAACATACGCCCCACCGGTAAAGAAAAGCGAAATACAACCCAATATGAATTGACTAGATGGTAAGTGGAATGATCTAATGGAGTGAAGTAATCTTACAAAAAGCTAGATTTTCATCTTTGTTCCAGAATTCAAGGCGTAATCAAACAGAAATTCAAGAGATAGACAGTGAAAAATAACAAAACCCTAACCTAATCTCGAGGGCGCGGCTGAAGCAATCGACAGCCTCGTTAAAATCATTATCCTTCATGGCCTTGGATCCTTTCTCCAGCAACTCTTCCGCCATCTCCAACGATTTCTCACCGCTTCCATCGGAGGTCTGAGCAGTGGCTTCAGTAGCGGCGTTCTTGTCATTGGAACAATTGGAAGACGACTCGACGCCTCCCTGGGCATTGGACTCAATGGTGACCTCACTGGCGTTCAGGCTTTCGTCCACCTTCGGTTTATCCACCGTCACCGAGACCTCCGATGGTGGACCCTCGTCGGCCATGGCTATAATTTCCGAGCTTAGAGAAAATGGAGGTTTTAGCAGAGGGTTCCGCACTTCGAGCTTCAAAATCCTTTTTGGGCGGAAACGCGACAGATAAAATAAAACCTCTTTTTTTTATATATCTAAAAACTAAAAAGGAAATGCATTTTCTCTTTTTAAATTTAGTCTCCATTCTTGTAAAGTTTCAATAATAATTTTTATGAAGTTATGAGACAGCATAGTCGAATGGATAATATATACTTCGATAATTGATCCATCTCAATTTCACAATTATTTAACTAAAGAAATTGAGTCAAATAGATAGATAACGTATTAGGCCGTTCTTATTCTACGAGGGAATGGTATATCTATTTTACCAAATTAAAATAGAGTAATTTTCACTCAATAAGAAAATATAATTCGATATTGTATCATTATTTTGTTAGTTAGTTTTATTGTTCTATGATCTTAAGAACAAAAATTAATATGTAGAGATGAAAATCGAATTGAAAAAAATACAAAAGATTAAAAAGCAAAATTTCTTTGAAGTAACAATTTAGTTCTTAAATTTTAGTGTGATGATTTAATTTGTGTACTTGTTCCTAAACTTTTAGCATGTAATAATTATAAACACGTTTGGTGTTTTATTATTTTATTGGTGTACGTAGTAATAGAATTTTTCTTAATAAATATTAAATCGATACAAATTTTAAATTACAAACATTAAACTATTACATGTCAAGTAATTAAATTGTTACAGATTTAAAATAAATGGAATAAATTGATATTAACTAAATCCTAATTTCTACAAAAGTAGAACGAAGAAAATGATTTTTAACCCAGAAAAATGAGGGATGAAATTGAAAAGGAACCAAAAATAATCATTTAGCAGCTAGAAAATGTATTTTCAGTGAAAACCCGCTTTTACCCTTCCATTGTTTGACGTGTCAGATGAATGACGATTGGGGACAAGGGTATTTTCGGTAGCTGAAAATGAATGAGAAAACGAAGCGCTGATATTGCTTCCCTCGCGTTAAAGGATTAGAAAAGTTTGCTCCCAAATTCGCAGAGTGAGAGAAAAAGCTATGGCTTCCACAAGCTCACCAATCCTCCAAATTCTCCGACCCCGATGCCGAGTAAACACCACCGTCCGCGCCGCCGTTGTGAAATTGCAGCCGGAATCTCTCTCCGCCGGCACAACGCGGCGGCAGGCGCTGCTGTTTTTCACTGCGACGGCGGCGATTGCGGCGAGAGAGAATCCGTCAATGGCAGAGGACATTCCTCTGTTCGGGCTGAGGAAGAAGCTGAAGAAGGTGGAGGAGGAGGCGGAGGAGATCGTGAGGGAAGGATTCGAGGCGGCGGAGAAAGGAATCGAGACGGCGGAGCGAGGGATCGTAACGGCGGAGCGGGGAATCGAGGCGGCTGAGAGAGAGATCGAAACGGCGGAGAAAGAGATCGAAACGGCGCTGAATTTCGGTGCGCTGTCGCAGGCAGGGGCGGTCGCCGGAGCTGAGGTAGTCGGAGTTCTCGTCGCTACGTCGATTGTTAACGGTATTTTGGGTCCTGAAGGTCAGAGTTAAATGTGTATGTTATTAAATTGGGATTTTTTTTGTTTTTAATTTTTAATTGTTTTTTCGTAACTGCTTTTCTGGCTCGGGTTAGTGTTTATAATTATTAATTAATGAATGTTGTGGTATTCTTTGCCTAATTATTTAGTTCGAAAAATGATGTCAAATTTGGTATAATCCATCTGTTGATGAGTATTGTTATTTAGATTAAAAAATACTTTTAGTTAGTGATTTAGTCTCTTTTTTTCCTTTTTTTTTTTACTTTTGTTTGTAATAATTTAATCATTGCATTTTCAAATTGAGAATAATTTAGTCTGAAAATTTATAATATAGTGTGGAACAATTTAGATGATATTTTTTTTATGTTTAAGGAGTATTTATACAAATTTTCAAAAAAAAAAAAAAGAGTTATCGATTGCTCTTCAATATGATATCGAACCCTCTGATTTATAATGGATATAGCGACATGTACTTTAGTCTTTTATCTCAATTTTACAAAAGTTTTGTTTACAAATATTTAGGAAATAGATCACGCATATGGTAAACAATTATTGATATTAATCAGAAATTTTGATACTAGGAGTGTTTATTTTACTCTCCTCTAGCTATAAAAAAGAGTTCAATAAAGTTTCTAGAAATTGTTTTACATTTAAAATAAAATAGTGTTATACTAACGAAAATCTATCATTGGATTGCGAGGGAAAACTATTTAACTAACATCAATGTGGTGGTGGTGTTTGTCAGAGTGACTCCAACAACGAAGTTAGATAAACAAATATGAATTAAGAATTCAATAAAATTTGAGTACAAGTATAATAAATTGTTATTTAAAGACATATGGATTGAATATTAAGAATTTTAGATAGGCAAGAGCGGCAAACTCATCATGAGGGTGGAAGATATCTCGAAGTGGTAGTTAATAGACATTATAATAAGTTGATCAACTAATGAGAGAGAGGTAGAAATGTAGTTTGGACTATCCTCTCTTCTTGATTAGTGGTTGAATCTCATTTTCTTTTGGTAACAAATATCATTAATCGGAGTATTGAATCAATGAAAGTACCTCGATTCATAACATCTGAACTATATAACTTTAGGTCAGAGAATAAATTCACTGGGTAAGATAGTTATTACTAACCCAAAATCTTCATATGTACAAACTCAACCTGCATTATATTTTACTATTTATTATAAGTTATACATCCACGTTCTTTAGTATAATAAGAGGTGGGAACCGAACCTCTAGGATACATTGTTGAACTTAAAAAAAGTTTTAAGTCATAGGTTAGGTTTCCACATCTTATTATACTAAACAACGTAGATATATAACTTATAATAAATAGTAAAATATAATGCATGTTTAGTTTGTATATATGGAGATGATTAATGTATTATCGTATTTATATAAGTTCAATTTAGTTTGTTTCTAGGTGGAGTTGATGACTTGTGAGAACATGAAATGAGGCATTTATGAATTGAATTAAATATAAGGTTATATAAGTCAAATTGAGGTACAACTCAATTGGTTAAAAAATACCTGGTTAAAAAATACCTTCAATTCTTTTATTTTCACCAAAGTAACAATTTAGTCTTTAAACTTTCAAAAGTAACGAGTCGTATTGTATTTAAAAATTGGTTACAATTTAGTCCTATTGTTAAAACTCTATTAGGATTTAACAGAGAGTGACATGACTACTAACTAGGATCTAATGTGCAAAATTAAGGATCATTTGTTCTATTCAAGTTCACGTTTGTTCAAATTTGGGTAGATTTCGGGTAGGCTTCGCTAGTCACCAGCATTGACGAGTTGAAGTTGATTAATTTGATTCTTTGGCTGCCCTGTAATTTGATGAAGGCTAGAAATAGCCATATTCTGTTCAAGGAACCCATTCAGATCGGCCTCTTACATTACTATCAAGACTCTTCCATTTCCTAAAAATCTATCTATGTAATATCAGAACAAGAAAGAAGAAACAAAGCCTAGCATTTTACTTATTACTATCATAAGTGTGAGATAGAGATCATCTTTCACCTCGTTGGCTAACTATGGTATAAAAATAGAGAACCCATTGCACCATTTGTTCGATTTTCTTTTTCGAGTTCCATTATATTTTAATTTGTTATGCACTCAGTTTCACCTTCACCTTCAGTTTGTAGAGTCCTCAAGCACCTCAACTCACTCGAGTCAGGGCTGATAGAGGTGGTCTGACCTATATAGTTCAATTCATGTTACTTCTTTGAATTCACTCTAAGTGAACCTAATATGGTAATTCCACCTACAATATTAGTTTTTTTCTGGAATGGTTTGGACTAATTTTTTTTTTTAACTATATTTCAAACTCTATTTGTAATTAATTGAGTTTATTTTAAATGGTGAAATACTTATGGGTTAGATTTAAATATTTTGACATTTTCATGAAATTGAACTTGGATATTTAAAATTTTAATAATTAGATATAGATTTATTACGCAGATATCTAATTAAATTTAAAATAGGAAGACTACTAAAATTGAGTGGGCCAAAGTGGATACTAAAGCCCAACTAATCCGGCCCATTAACATAACTCTTGAATTTGCTCGACAACCACCCGGCAAATTCAAGCAGCTTCCTCTGTCTCTGGTTTCTTCAAATCGTGGACCGAAAAGCTTCACAGAAACCCTAAAAGCGAATCGGAATCAGATGTCGGACGGAGAAGATACCGATTCCGACGCCCCCGAGGAGTTCACCGCCGAGCAGGTTCGTGTTTTCAATTTCTTCACACTTCTAGTTTTCTGTTGCCACTCGCCTGAACTCGACCGGAACTCCTCTGGCTATGTTTCAAAGGAAGTAACCATTTATATTAAGAATTCATCTGTTGCAGGGAATACAGCAAGATCAAGAGATTACGAAAGTTCAAAATGAAAGTAAGGCCAGGTATGTTGCGAGTCCGAATCCCCCTTCAGCGAATTGTATTTGGTGTCGAACCTTTTGTTTTCGTCGTTCTTTCATCAATTAGCAGTGTTTATAAACTTTGATTCTCCATGAAAAATTACAAGAAGCCATCCCAACTGAAGAAAATTAGTTTAGATACCTAGTTCTGGTGTATTGCCTCTCAGTAGTAAAGAAATGCTGTACCTATCCAATCAAAGATAACTATTCCTGAAACTTCCTGTCATGATATTCCAGCTAAGTGCTACTGATAAGTTCCAGTTCCAGAATTCCAGTAGTTGTAAATGTTGAATTGCTAACAATCTGCGACTTGTGAGGGCATAGACTCTAAGATAATAGATTACTTGAAGAGGTTTCGACTTTCAAGCCATGCATCCTTCTTGAAGTGAATAGACCTATCTACCTTGATAACTGAATTCTCTTATGTGATCTTCTGCTTTGGGATATTAGGACCCTAAAACTTTTTGTGCTGCTATACGAGCATTTCCCAAGTCCCAACAGTCCACCCAAAAAGATTTGCGCCATTCTTGCTCTTCTGTATCTAGTAAATAGACTCAACGAATTTACTTCAGTACAAAGAAGAAAGATGAAAATGGTCTCCTAAATGTCCTTTGAAGTCCACATCTTAGTCCTAGTAATTCATTAACAATGTCAGAAAAATTACTGGTAGACAAGCAACAAAAATCAATTCTCCATCTTTCTCCAAGTCCTCTAATCTCTAACTTCACCAACAAAACGGGCCAATCCACTAAGTTGGGATTTCTCTTTAATTCTTAATCCACTAAGTTAGGCTCAAAATTTTACCCTTTAAGACTTACCTTCTTTGGTTCATAAGGGGCTTATACCTTGACCATAAAAATGCACAAAAGTTTGGAGTCTTTTACATGCATATAGGATATACCATCTTGAAACCTGATTAATGATTGAGCTGAGAATATATCTTAAAGATTTCTTTCTAACCAAGTAGCCCAAACAACCATACCCACCAAAAGTCTCCAAAAGATAAGAAGGAATACACCAATTATTATTGTTGGTTTGCGAACGTTATGTTCACAAAATTGAAATGGAGCAGAACATATGGAAAGATGATGCAGCGGTTTCTCTTGATTCTGACGAACATACCAAGAGGTTGAAAGAGATAGGTTTAAGACTATATATATAATATATATATATATATATATATATAGTTTTAAAATCTATCCGAAGTGTTGACCTTGCAATGGTAGAGAGTCTAGAAAGAGAATCTGACTTGTGCAGGGTTTCCTATTTACAAAGACATTTCTAAATTCCTTTCCATATAGCTTGATCTATTATTGTCCGTCTTTTTCATTGTTAAATAAAAGTAAATGAAGTTAGTTTAGTTCATAGCAACAAAATGGTGGCCATGACTTTTCTTTAGATAGCATGGGGTCAATTCTTGTTAGCCATAAATGTTTTATGAGTTTTTAAACATCAAATGTTATACAATTATGCAGTTGTGTTAAGGTGCATAAATTGGCTTGGATATCGATGGTGTTATTTGCTGTTGTAATTGGTTTATTAGTTTTATGTTTTATTTTTGGGCTCTTTGTTTATTTGGGCTTTTGGGTATTTTAGTCTTTTGCTTAATGGGCTGGCCTCTTCTCTGTTTTTTGATCTTTTGAATTAGTAAGAATCAGGTTGGGTCACAGAAGATATTCTTAATCATTTTTTTAATTAAAATTACAAATGACGACCATGAGAAGAATGAACTGTAAACAAGTGCCTGTAGCTCAGTGGATAGAGCGTCTGTTTCCTAAGCAGAGAAGAATGAACTGTACTGAACATGGCCAGTAGTTGGCTAAGATGGGGTATTGCCTCAAAAAACACTGCAAGATTTGACAATGGTCGTTCATTCTCAGAATTCAATGTAATATTGTAAATTCTTACTTGCCAAGAACGATATTAAATGATATCCATTTGGATTTACACTGTTCATTACAATGTTCTTTCCGACAGAACATGATATATAGCCTTGTTTATGTAGGGTTGTTCGTGAAGGAAAAGAGCGTCGTAGACTGTGGGCCGAAAAGAAAACACCACGCCCATCTAAAAAGGGTGAAACTGTCGAAGATGTAGCCGAAATCCCAAGTCATATAGATCAAAGTAGCAAGTTGGGAATGCTTCCCAGTAATCTTGTCCAACTGCTTGCAGATCGTGAGAAGTATTATTCTCTCACTTTCTCATGTATTTTTGCGCATATCATAATTTTGTCAAACAACTAATATGGTATACTTTCAATCTATAGACAAGTTTTCTCGTCGGACCCTGGAGATGAAAAGCCTGCAGCAAAGCCAAAAACAAAGAGGAAAAAAACCAAAAGCTCAGGGTGAGAAAACTCGATCCGACTGTTACCGAAGATATTCTTTCTCCCCATTTTAATCTACCTTCTGATGTAGACTGACTCATTATTTTCTTGCAGGATTGAAACGGTTGTTTTAAACAAAAGACAACCGGCTCAATGTTTACAGAATTCCATGGAATTTTTGAAGAAAAGGAAGATGAATATTCCAAGGTCGTCGTCGGTTCTCGACAATCCTAACCAAGCATTACGCCGTCTTTCTTCATCCGGATTGCTAACTAAGAATTAGAATTTTTGTTATTAAATCCATTTGTTGAATCTCTGTTAGCTCCGATAGGACAATGTATAATGTATTTTGAGAATTGGTTACTGAGTTCAAAGACTGGTGGTGGAATATGGACAGTAAAAAGATTTATCGAGTACTTGTGATGGTTTTGGCGAGAATCAGAAATGGAAAATGATTACACAGCATGGTAAATGAACGATTCCTCATGTGTTGTTTCCAGTTTTGAACTTCAAGATGGCGATTTTCCTTTGTAATTTATAATTAATACTGTCAATTAAGTTAAAATTTCATTTATTTTGATTGTGCCCGTTTTAACTAATTGGATTTGCATATTTTGTAGCAGTTTTGAGTGTTTTTTATTTGCTTGATTTTGTGGCTAGGTTCAGTAATTTCATGATTGGGTTTAGGTATTTTTGTAATATGTATTCGGTGATGTATATTAGCTGATTCACGAGTGATTTTTAATTTAGTTTTGAAGTATTAATTTTCATTCAAGTTAATTGATGAAAGTTAAGGTTAAATTTGACTTGTTGACATGGATAAATTTGAACTTTTCCCTAAATTTGTTTCAATTTATTTCTTAAAATTTTATTAAATCTCACAGAGCAGGTCGATAGTTTTCTTTCTGTAAGATAAGATTGAGTTGAGAGATTTAACCCATTATCAAATTAAATTTTAAAATTTGTAAGCATCACATTTAAACCAAACATATACTATAGAAAGACTTAAATTAGTAAATTAACCTAAATTTAAACAATAGAAAAACAAAGAGAAAAATTAAGACATCTATTTCTAAAAGTTGACGAAGCTCCCCTCAAAGACTTGATGTACGAAGCTCCTCTCAAGACTTGATGTTTGCATCACTGATAATCATAGTATTCTCAATATTGTATATCTCCTTACGCAATTTTGAAATCTCCAGTCTTTGTTGTTTCAAGTCCTCATTTTTCTCAAAGATTAAATTAGAAAGCCTCTCGGTTTTAGCATTTGCAGTTTTGAGCTTGATCTTTAATTCTTCCGCCTCAAGAAGTGATTGTACTCGTAGTTGTTGAATCGCATTCTTCTCCTCAAGTATTTCAATTTCTCTTAGTAATGCCTCCTCAAAACTAGATTTCATTTGTTTCAATTGGTCATCCTTACTTATTGAAGATAGTTGCGTGAAAATTGAGTGAGACATGGTGTTATACTTTTCTTCCACCTTCCGAAAGTAGCCTCCGACAAATTCCTAACAAAATGTCAAGATTGGTCATATTAGTTTTTGAAATTGCATTGTATATTTTGCATATTTTCTTTTCAAGATTAGTAACATTCCCCACGTGGGTATGACAAGTTGTCATCAAAAATAGAAAACCACAAGCACGAAATTTAAATGTTAGCATAATCAAAAGTGGGGATCACTATAAAGAAAAGTGACAACCACTAATATAGAAAATTTAATTCGGTGATTGGCGGGAGAGTGACATCTCACGATGAGCACTGCCACCGCAAGCACCAAATTTAGGCATTGAACCTAATAAAACAACATCCCTATAAAAATAGGTGATTACTACTGGTATAGGAAATCACAAATATTAAATTTAGTTGTTGGTTTAATTTAATTAAATGCATCTTAGATGCAAATCAAATATAATAATAGGAGAATATATGTATCACATGAAAATCTAGATGTCTATTTACCTCACTTAGATGAGGAAAGTGAGGAATTTGATGTGTGGAGTGGTTGCAAAGTAAACTTGCTAAAGTCAATTCATGAAAAAATAATAATAATAATAATAAATAATATAATAGAATAAAACAAAAATAGTGCAATTAGGGTAAAAAAGGTTTTGAATTGGAAAAAAGAATTTTCATTTGCAAAAGAAAATAAATAATAATAATAATAAAAACAAAAACAAAGACACAAAGTTTGGAGCTGCGAAGAAAAAAACTGAAAGACGGTTTGAAATTCAAAAAGAAAAATAAAAATAAAAAAGAAAAATCTACTTCATTCACATACATGCCTATTTGTCTAATAAAATAATAATGGTAACTTTTTGTTAACAAATTTTAATAATATTTTTATGGATAGATCTATATAAAAGGTAAAATTGAACATTTTAAAAATATCAGAGATTAAATTGAAAATTACTTAAAATATTAGTAGATGCTATTTGATATATAGAAAAAAAAATTGGGCAGTAAACGAAACTTCATATTTTACCTCACTGCCAATCTGCAAAAAATTAAATATATAAAAATATATAAATTTTAAATAGAAGAAGAAGCCAAAGATTAAAAATAAAGAAAATGGAGTTGTGAAAATACTTGGAAACTTGCTGTTGGAATTTCTTTTATTTTATGAGTAATTTGATTATGCATGTCACCCCAATTTATAAGCGATGAATTTTAGTTTTAATCAAATAAGGATTCCTAATTTAAATCCTATTTCGAACTGGAATCCTTATTTACAACGGATAAAAGTTCAATTCCAATTTTAATTTTATTCTAACTTTAAACTAAGAGGTATATACATTTTTAATTAATTTTTAGGTTCGAATCTAATTATCATGGGAAATTTTCTGTCAAATAGTCAATAAAATAAAATTGGACCAAAACTCGTAAGGTGAATTATAAAAAATCATTAAATAAAAACAATGGCCACCATTAATATCTTGATTGATTGACCAAAACAAAATTAAAATTAAGAAAAAAATCCATATTTTGATAAGTTTGTCGTAGTGAACCAAAATTATAACTAAGATAATACGTTATTGTTATCGAAATTACCATGTAACAATTCTAAATCAATGACAATTAAAATCAATCAAAATTTGACGAGGTCTTTTAAATGAGATTAAAAGACCTAAAATGACAAATTAAAAATAATGTTATTGATCTTTTTAATAGATATTGTTATGGGATTGTATCCGGCCAAGGAAATGGGCCTCTACAGACCAGAGAGGCCCAAACCCAACGACAGATCGAGTGAGCCGGGGCTCGGTCCCGACCCCGGCTCGGCACATATCAGGGTCGAGCCCACTTTCTCTCCTCTCCCATTGGAAGAGGTGTCCCGATCCACGAATTCCTGTGATCCAGTGACGACGGATAGATGGACTCAACGAGAAGGTTCTAGAAGGCAAGACTCCTATAAATGGAACAACTGGATGAACCCAAGAGGTAAGCAAATAAACCCTAAGTACTTCACTTAGTAATTCTCTCATTGCTGACTTAAGCATCGGAGCCAGTGTGACTGAAGTCACACCGAGTTAAGGTTGTTCGGTTTTGCAGGCATCCAGTCCCATGATTATCGAGCTTGGTGCACATTTGGCGAGAACGGAGGAAGCCAAATTTCCAGCATCAACAATTGGCGCCGTCTGTGGGGACGATAAAAATCATACGACCAAGTAACATGAATCCGGAGGAAAGTTGTTGCGCCTCCGCTTATTAGCAAGAGGGACGAGTGCAAGTGCACACTGTCACAAGTAATAATCTGGAAATATTCCAAGTTCGTCTCCACAGGGGCTAGTTTTCTTTTAAAATTGATTTTGCAAATTGTTGGAATGAGCAATCGAGTCTGGGAATAAAAATAATTGATTGGTTGAAATGCACGTTTTATAATTTAATAAAATAGAATTTTGAAACCAACCCTCATACTACTGACTAGTTTGAAGAGAAATGAATTACACCTATCAGAATCTCACACTAAATTTACTCTCTAATTGCAAACTGGTTCAACTCCTATTCCATACCGCTTTTGGTTTGTTTAGAAGATTAGGCCAGTATTTAAAACATGTTTGTAAAATACTAGAAGAATCCTAAGTAATTAAAACTCCAACTTACGTTTAATGGGCAAGAGAGTCTATGTGTAGGATCTTGTTTAAGTTCTTATGTCTAAGTAACTCCCCATTTTATCTTGATGAACTCTGTTGACTCTAACATTTTCAGAATTAAACTCAACTGTTGTGATTTAAACAAGTGGCCAGCAAGTAAAATCAACTAGATTAATTAACTCAATCAAGATAAGCAATTTGAGCGTAACCGCCGTGCTATCTGATAGATGTAATTAAAATAATGGGAACTAAGTCATTCGTAAGAGGGTTGGAAAAGTAAATTAATTACTCATAAAAACATGAAAAATAGAAATAATAAGAAGTGGATTGAAATAAAATATCATATTAAGTTTAAGAAGTAATTACAATAGCTAAATTAAAACCGAGAACCAAAATCTAAAGAAAATGATAACAACAAAAAGGAATTGCAATAAAAATAATTCAAGGAATGTTGAGCAAAATTAAAGACAAAACAAATTCTAAAAAAGTAAATTCTAGAGAGGAAACAAGCTGGAATTTTAAATGTCAAGTGAGCTCGGGAATGAGCTCGGCTGCTTCTTCTCCACACTTTTTTTTATCCGTGTCCGTTCCGCATGCGCTTCGCGCGCCATTGGCGCTTTGTTCTCCTCTTATTCTTCATTGGACGGTTCGGATGGACTTCGCCGTTCTTTCCCAACTCAAATTGAAAAGGCTGTCTCACATCGAGATGTCGATTCGTTTTCCGTCCCCAATGAGATGGGGAATTAGTAACCCCCTATTTCGACTTTTTGGCCCTTCATCTTTCTGAATCGAGGCCCGGCTCGCGTCGTTCCAACAATCGGCGGGGAGCACCTCAGTATACGATCGCGCGCAGTAACTGGGAGTCCTATTACACCTAAGGCCAACTTCAATTCACCAAACCAAGGTTCATCTC